CTATTTATTAATTGTAATTTGGCCTCACCTGAGTGTATAGCTACCAATAGAACCCCTATTCTCTATCTATTCAGCTGCTTACTAACGCCGATTCAGAAACTATATTTTAACGTCATGTTTACTGAAAACTTCGAATTCGTACTGACTGCTCGACTGTAACAATAAGATTAAGTGAAACTGCTTCTCAAAACAGCCAGTGTGGCAAGTGCTGAGCAGCATGCAACCATTGCGCGTAGATTACTCCGGATATGCCTGGCTTTTTCGTTAATTTTTGAATTTTGTTTTTCTTTTATGAAGCACCTCCGTTTTAGGCCGCTGTTGTTTCCTCTCCTAAGCGTACTCTACAAATATTTCGCTGTGCGCATTTATATCTACGAGATCTACATCTCGTGAATATTTATTAAAATGTGGCTGTTATAACCACAACATCTGTTGGAGTTGATATTTAAAGGAAGCGATTACGATAAAGAGGGAGCGCATCGGGGAAGCATATGCACCACACGAAGCAGTTACTTGGCTGCCAGGGAAGCGAGATGTGGCGCTTTCACGACGAAAGGTGCGCTGGTTGCTGAGCAGGACTTCGAAAGCGCTCCATCCCAAAAGCGTTCCGCCCACCAATTTATTTAATTGGTAATCCGGGCGAGCTGTCTTGCCAGCGAACAGCTGAACCATCTCGACTGGGCATGTTTTGGCATGTTGCCAGCAAACGCAGTAAACTCGTCCTCACGTCCGCCGTCTTAAGCCGCTTGCGCAAAAACTAGGGGTCAAGCAAGGGGTTTCCGTTTCGCGTCTTCCTTTTATTTTCCTTCCCCTTTTTCCTAGCCATGTTGACGCTCCATTCCGAAGAATTTCCTCTCATCTCAGTTTGTGGGACGGCCGAGTGCACCGTGAGTCATGGTCGAGGATTCCTCGACAATGTGTCGCATTTCACCTTAGAGGAAGCAAGGAGTCCACTTCGGAAATTGAATTTTGAGCTCGTAGATGTGAATAGGTGGGAAAATCGAATTGCGCTGTCACATATTAAGACTGCTGTTGAACAGTCCACGTACCACGCTGCAACCGTCGACTACTTTTGGAGGAGTTCACAATGATGGAATTGGAGGGTTGTTGGATCTGTTTGGCGATCTCTACTGACGCACACCTTCCAACGACCAGAAGATAGGATGGTTATGGGAAGTATGAGGAGGAGGGGTGGAGAAGAGGCCATTCCCTCCCTCAACGCGATGTTTACCTTGGGTGAGAGCATGAAGCTGTTATTCTACATAGCCTTCGGATGTTGCCACAATGAGAACATCATAGCACTTTGACACAAGAGCTGTGAGCTTTCGAGTTTGTGACGTGTTGGTTTCACCACCACATTCTTTTGTGAAATGATGAGAGATAGGAGGCATATTGGGGACGAACACACAAATATTCCGACGATAATTGATTCGTCGTAAAAGTCAATCACAGCGTGGTTGTCTTCCGGCTAAGAAGAAAAACATTGACAATAACCCACGAACGGCTCTGGGATTCCAAATGAAACAAAAAACGCCCCACAAGATGTTCAACTGATACCAAATACTTTATTTGCTAGACAAGCGCTATGAAACTGCGAAACTGCTCTACTAAAACGCTCAATCTGCTTAAACCTATTGATGCAACGAATAGCCCGTCACAGTATTGTTATTAGTTCAAGTATCTTTACAGACAAAATCTAACGAATCTTTCCTCAAACTAAGACAACTTATTAGCATATACAAGTTAAAACGTTAAAACAGTCAACAACTTGTCAAGGAATTATTAAAGGTAAAGAATAAGCCGGGGTCGATTTATCGGACAGAGATCAACTATTCTTATACTTTTCTATACCTGTAGCGCTCATCACACATATGTGACTAAGATCACGGAATTTCTGATTGTAGTCGAGACCATAGCCAACGATAAACTGAAAAATGTTCCTAAATCAATTCTTGTAATTGAAAGGAGACGTTTAAATTTACCTTATTAGGGATGTGGAAGGCGACAAAATCCTCGACGACGTCCACCCTTCGAGGCACCCGTTTTGAAAGCAACAACGCCGTCCATATCTTCTTCGCGCCTGTATTCAATAATGAAATTATTCAAAAACCCGTCATGTTCCTGACTGATGTCAAGTTTTCCTTTCTAGTTCTCATTCAATTTCATTCTTATCTATTCGACATTCAACTCTCACTGTATCTCGTTTTCCTCTTGTTTTGTTTGATACCACATTCCAAGACAGACAAGGTCGCAAGTTACCGAAGGGTACTCCCCGTAGTACCCGGCCGGGATGGGTTCCTAAAACTCTGCGCCTCTACTACGGTCGATGACGCATTTCCCATGGACAAGGATAGGGGAGTGTTCAAAGAGATGGAGTTTCTGGGACCCATTCTCGGCGGCCGGGTACTGCTGATAAAGGCCCCTTGAATTACCCACTTGTCTTTTACTCTACCTCAGAATTTTCGTCATGGAACATTTCAACTCCGCTCCTCTTTTACCCGTATGATCTCTTTTACCCTTCTACACTCTCGCCTGAGCGCTCAATGTTTTTAATGTTTCTTCGCCGTAATCTGGCACAAATGCTTCACTTGGGAAAGAGTCTAGCTTAGGTCTCTTCCGGCCACTTTTGTACTTTCCCTTTAATACAGCGAACACGATAGGTTCTGGAGGTTTAGACGGGACATGGGTGTACTCAATGGTATGCCACGACATGAGAAGCAGAGAAATCTGTCCAACGCAAAACGTGACCCCCTTGGCCGCTGATTTTTGGCTCAAAAAGGATCGGACGAGTTTACCGCAACGCGTTTGGTGGCACCATGCCAATCCATGTCGAGTTGCTCCGTGCACCGCTACTGGCACAGCACGCCCAAGTCACTAATTTGGTGAAGTGCACCAGGGAGGTGGCGATTTTCAAGCACTACTCAGCAACTCGCGCACCTTCCGTCATTATAACCACTACATCTGGCTTCATTGACAGCAAGTTAGCTGCTTCGTGGCCCATATACTTCCCCAATGCGCCCCCCCCCCCTTTTATCATAATCGTTTCCGTTAGTTGGTACACCACTTAAACCTGCAGTCTCACTTTCGAACCACGCACTCTTTGCACTTGCCGAATGCGTTTTTTTAGGGCCACAAACACCATCACCATCTTCATACGATATGAACAATGTTTCGACCAAGCGCATACCGTATTCCTCTATGGTGTGGATGAGTTTCGATAGTGTGAGGCAGTGGTCGACTAATGTCTCAGCGATCTAAAAACTGAACACCACCACTCATTCGAAACAGTATAGAGCAATATACGAACAGCAAAACCGATTCCCTAGGAATGATGCTAAATGAATAAATAGCTTTGTTTACATAATTTAATGGGCAATCTTATATGTAATACCACATTTCTGGGCCAGATGGGTCGGTCAGAAGTCGAGTAGTGTCCAAAGTCAATTATTTTCTTTGATAGCTCACTGAAGATTGAAGAATGAGCCCTCTAGTTTGTGGTTCTAGTGTTGATCTAGGCAAAGGAATGGCAATGGGGCATCACGAGCATGGTACGAGTTTAAGCCTGCTCACTTCTGTTTGTACCACTAATTTTCACTCCACTGATTAGCATGCCCTCAAAAGCAATGTCATACCCTGCGTTGCGCAATTCATAAATTTTTACGACCCCTTTAAGCTTTGGAGGGTACGGCGGCAGACCCCCGTATTACGTATTGCGGGCGGTCGCATCGCGATGAGATCAAATATTTAAAAAACCTAAAACTGTTCATTTTCGAAAGTTTTTAAAAATGTTGGCAAATCGTACATTCTTCACCAAAATTGTCCGCTGTTCTGCGTTTTTCAAGCACACCGCGAGTTATTCCGATTTCGAACATATCATAGAACTTCTTTATTTCGGTCTTTTTGCAGATTTTCAAGAGGTTGGTTGAGATTAGAAACTAGAAGATTAGCGCTTTCAAACAAGCACCTGACTTTTTTCCAAGCGATCACTCTCTCAAAAAATAGTCCCGTTGTTCCGTTTTTGGGGTTTGTGGTCCGATTTTTGAGAAGGCGCGAGTTTTCGACATTCAAACGTTCATAACTTTCTTCATAATCAACTTTTTGCAGATGTTCAAGGCTAATTAGAAACTAGAGGATTAGAGCTTTCAAATAAGTGCTAAACCTTCTGCCGAAAGAATCGCTCTTTTAAAAAAGTCTCGTTTTGATTTTTTCAAGCCATTTTCCTGAAACGCGACTTTGCAATCTTCAAAAGTCCATAATTTCCTTCAAAATTCAAAAAAATGAGAAGAGGTATAAAGTGTTGGAGTCTACATGAAGAGTGCTTTACAACGTATGCAAAATTTTCCCCTGAAAAGCTTTCTTCTGACAGAATTTCTGAGGAGGTTCTAGAAGTAATAATTGTAGCAAGTTCTACTTTCTTCCACTTACATTTGTTCTGAAGATATCAAGATTCTTTTGAGGAAGTTTGTCTGCTTACGGCTGCTGACAATAAAGCATTTTGAACTGAAACTTGTGCTCGGGTACGCCGTGCTCCTGTTTTTGGTAAGAGCCGCACATCCGTATGAAACTCGCTCCACTCCCGCTGGCGACGCAGATGGTAATAGCGAATTAGGTTGCGTCGTACTGTGACATGGAATCATATTTTCTCAATATTTTTCTCCGCGGGTCCCTATGTATGCGACCCCCTCCCCTTTCGTTCGAACCAGTACGGCCCCCTCGGTGTTCCTTGCGGAATGCGGGCGGTTGGCCCTGCTTCAGAAGCGTTAAAATACCACACAAATTACAGGAGTGGTCCGTTTCTAAAAAGCTGGAGGCTTCTGAAACTAAATAGTCTCCAGGATTTCATCCAGTGAGGAGAAGGACATGTGACGCGACGGTCGCTGCCTTCAAAATTTCAATTTTTGCAGAGGAGAAATCCCAGGGAGCGCGAAACATTTCGTTTCCGCTTTAACACCCACACCAGAGCTTTTCTCCGGGATGTTTGCCACATCCCGGAGAGATAACCTAACATGCACCTTTTGCCCCTTATTTTATCAACGAAACAATCCACTGCAAGGTTTATACGCACCAGCACATTTTTTCCTCGTAAGTTCTTTCCAAATACTGATTCCAACTGATGCTGGACTTTTCGAAGGCAATCGTCTTGTAGTTTTACATCGTAATGAAATCCAGGTCATTGTTCCTATACAAGAGCGCCGGCCGCCCCGGCCAATGAGCATATTATACGACTCGTCTACCTTAAACATAGAGAAATAAAACAAATCTCCATATTAAAAAGACACTCCACTAACCAGAGCGTTAAAAAACTTGTAAGATCCCTTGAGTACACAAAGAAGCGACAACTGATGTTCACCAATCGCCTCATGGATGTCTGGAAAGCGAGTTCTTACATCCACAGTAGCCAATTTATCGCTAAAATCGTACCTTTTGCTAATCGTCTGTGCTGCTCGATCACCGCATTAGCTTCAGTTATGACAACAGCTGCAAGATCGTCCCGCATAGAGCAGCCGGTGGAATAGTCGAAGGCGCTAACCGGTAACTAAACACTGTCATCAATTAAGGGCAAAACCTGGGCGAGTCATCAGTCTTTACTGCCTTATGGATGATGTTCTGTGGTAGAATCGAGCTACAAGTGTGTGCGCTCTGCGCCCGCACGCTGGAGTCTCATATCATAGCCTCTTAGTCGATGACACGATGTGCCTTCTTAACTAGAGTTCTATAAGCAACCCACCCTTTGATCGAGTTTGTGGAGTCAAGCGGTTAAGAATGAAAATTGTGGATGCCGATTTACTAAAACTGAAAAAAGCAAGGAAAAACGTCGATGAAGCACAAAACAAAATTTCCGTTGCAAAAGGAGGGCGGGGCCAGGACGAGTTGTATGAGACTGCCTGCTCCATGACATCAACCAACCCGCGCGTTTTGAATTAGCCGCTACGCCGTCATCCACGTTACGTGTGCGGGAGGGGTGTGCGGGACGAGTTCGTACAAATGCTAAGATTAGTCGCCAAATGCTGACTTTGTGGGGAGGCCCCCCTAGTCCATGAGTAGGCCACCAGACGTACCAGCGTGCGTGCACCGGCTTCAGCGGCGACCTGACGAGTTATTTGCTCTGAACTTTGTCATAAAATGGTCATGGTGAAAATGGAATGGGGGAGATGGGGAGCGCTTTTTGCTATCTTACCTTTGGTAAATGAAGGCCCTTCTTTTAGGTCTCTAACACTAGGAATACATATATGGACTTATATCGTGCTCTAACACTAGGAATACATAATGTGTGACCTATATCCTGCCCACTCCTGTCCATTTTGATCTCTTGGCTCCCTAGAGCTCCTCCACTTTTAGGTTCTAAGCAAAGATGTCCATTCTACTGGCTTAGGACCATTTTCTTGGACCATTGCAGGTCAAACTGTGGAAGCACCTTAGGAACACCTTACTTCTTACCGGTCTTAGCAGAAGAGTGAGTGATTACCTGTCATGAGCGCGTTTATTCCTATCTTTAACTAAAATCGGGAATGGGAAAGCTGTAGAAATGAAATTTTTGGCTCATTTATGCCTTCAGTAGGAAAAAAAGGAACGCGATTTCCGCACACCTGACATCGAGAAAACCATCAGAACAAACAGTTCCATCATATGTATAGCAAGGTCACCGAGGAAAACGGCAAGAGAATAACAACCAGAAGATAAGGTATCAAACCCGTTGTAAACGCATCTCTGACCGATCAACAAAAAATGTTAAGAAGTCAGAGCTCGTTTTTTTCGTAGTGCAACTTGCTCTATAAAATTTTACCAGAAAAACTGTTTACCTCGAAATCGTCCGGAATGTACGCGTTTCCTTGAGCCATGTCCTACAAACAACAATAAATTATAGCAGTAAATAATAAAAGATATGATAAAATAAACTACCAAAGTGCACACACATCCACTCCTCAACAACTATGTACACCGTAACTGTATTGTCTGTGGCGTAAATTTCAGTATTACTATAATATTAAGGTCGTATGATATATGTAAAAGGGGGATTTTTGTAGAAAATAAGACTTCCTCCAGCATCACATGAAACGCTACAACACTACTAGAAACCAAAAAACAAATCACAGCCACCCATAAAGGGAGTGATAGTGGGCATGAAAGATACCCCAACTCCACCAAGGACACATCGGTCAACGCCGCTGATAACAGTAGCGGTGATTGATTTGCCTTTGGTCAATAGGAGCCTCTTGACGTCTTGAAGCCAGTAATAGTCCGTTCAGACGGTTAGCTCCATTTGAGAACAATGATTTCTCGTGGTCTTAGGGAATATCCAGCAATCGTCCTTTGCCTTAGCAAGCAAAAGCTCATACACCATCTTCAAGCTC